TTTACAAGGGAAGGATTAAGGCAAAGGGTGATAGCCATGGCAATGGGTAGAAAACACTACAAAATAACTAAAACGTTAAACAATGAGGGAGGGCAGGACTGACTTGGCATGGCTGCCTTGAGAAGGAGGAAGGAAAAGAATAAAAACAAAAACAAACTCTAAAAGTAGCAAGAAAAAAAATTAAAACTAATTAAACAGGAAGATGTAAGCCAAATGGGGGAGAATTTMTTTCCCAAATCTAAGTCCTATCAGGTGGTTAAAAAAAAAAAAAAGTATATAATGTCTCAGGAGATGCTTTCAAATGCATGATACAGAGCACAGGGTAAAGCAAGATTTCCTTGCACTGCCGAGTGGTAAAGTATTTAAAATCGGAAGATGGGGTGGTACAAGCATAATGATGGTGGCGATGATGATAATAATACTAAGAGTAGCAGCACTGAATGAGCCAAGGTATGTAGAGATACATTCCATGTGGATTAACTCATTTAGTCCTCACAACCATCCGGCCACAATTATTACTCTCATTATCCTTGAGCTTTACAAAGGGGATAGGAGTGGGGAAAGGTGAGGGATCTGGCCTGTGGATAAATGGCTGGCCCCAGCAGAGCTAAGATTTCAACCCAGGCAGGCTGGCTGTAGGGTTTATATTTCTAAACCACTGTGCTTTTTCCTCTTGGAAGTAAAAGAAGAGAAAAGTTGGGGGTGGGGGGGCCTGAGGAGGAAAAAGAGGAGGAGGAGGAAGAGGAGGAGGAGGGAGAGAAAGAAGAGGAGGAGGGAGAGGAGGAGGAGGGAGAGAAAGAAGAGGAGGAGGGAGAGGATGAGGAGGAGGAGAAGGAGAAGGAGGAGGAGGAGGAGGAAGAGGAAGCCAAAGAAGAGAGCCAAGCCTGAGGTTCTTAAATACCAGGCTCTTGGAAACGGTCCTCTTCTGAACAAACTATTGCTGGAGTGTGACCCTAGTCTGCTGCCTGTGTCTCTAAGTCATGATGCATTTGGTCAGAAAGGAAAATCATTCTGTGGTTCTATGTGAAAGGTCGAGCCGTCTCTAAAGGTGAGAGAAATTCTTCATGCACACAGTCAGCTCGAAGGGAAATCCTGAGCCATTTGACTCCAGACCCTCTGACACTTTGTCCCGCACTCAGGCAGGATTCTGGGAAAGGCAGTACTTGGCTGATTTCTTGATTGGTTCACTCACTCGCAGATTCCACAAGTAAATGAACATAGCCATGTTTCTCAGATTTTTTTTCCCCAAAGAAAATGAAAGAAATATCAACATCAGGAACTCGGAAGCTCTATTTTATGAAAATATTTCAGAAAATCGAATCAGTTTTAAAAACTTGTAATTCAAGTGAAAACACACACAAAAAAAATTCGGTAACTTGCAGGATCCCCAGAACTTCACATTGTGTTCCATGAACCCCAGCTCAAGGAACAAAAAAAAGATGGAAACTGTGATGTGTTCAAGGATGGAGATGAGGCCAAGGCAGTATCTCCTCTCCAAAAGCCTCTGCCAAAGAGGGGTTCCCTACAGAGATGACCAACCACAGCTGAGAAAGGGAAGATGACATGAGAGCCACAGGACACCCTGCTGCGGGATCAGACAAGGGCGTGAAGGAGATGGAGGATCCATCAAAAGGCAGAGGGAGACCACAGTACAAGCCACAGTAGAGGGTGTCACCTTCTCCCCACATCCTCGCCAACACTTATTGTTACTTGTGTTCTTGATCATGGCCATTCTGACTCCAGGGAGATGGAATCTCAGTGTAACTTGAACTTGCATTTCTCTAATTTCTAGTGACATTGAACATTTTTTATATACTTGTTGATGGTTCGTATTTCTTCTTTTGAAGTGCCTGTCCAGTTCCTTTGTCCATATATTGATTGAGTTATTTGTGGGATGTATTTATTTATTTGTTTTGGTGTTAAGCTCCTTGAGTTCTTTGTATATCCAGGTAGTTCATGCCCGTACCTGAGGTACAGGTGGCAAAGATTTTTCTCCCATTCTGTAGGTTCTCTCTTCATGCTCCTGATGGTTTCTTTTGCTGTAAAGAAGCTGATTATTCTGATGCTTTCCCATTTATTGATTTTTTGATTATATTTCTTGAGCTGTCGAAGTCTTGTTCAGAAAGTCAGTTTCTGTACCAATAAGCTGAAGTGTTGGGCCCACCTTTGCTTCTGGTAGGAGCAGGGTTTCTGGCCTAATTCCTAGTTCTTTGAGTTCCACTTGAGTTGAGTTTTGTGAAGGGTGAGAGAAATGGATTAACTTTCATTCTGTTACAAATGGATCTCCAGTTTTCCCAGCACCTGCAAATTGGTACAACCCCTTTGGAGAGCAGTGTGGAGATTCCTCAAAAAACTAGAAATGGAACCACCAATTGATGGAGTTATCCCACTCCTTTGCATATATCCAAAGGATTTAACATCTGTATACCACAGTGACACAGCCACATCAATGTTTATAGCAGCAGAATTCACAATAGCTAAGCTATGGAACCAATCCAGATGCCCACCAACAGATAAATGGATAATGACATTGTGATATATATATATATATATATATATATATATATATATATATATATATATATATACATAATGAAATGTTACTCAGCCATAAAGAAAAATAACTCTATGACATTTGCCAGTGAATAGATGGATCTGGAGAATATCTTGCTAAGCAAAATAAGCCAATCTCTAAGAACCAAAGTTCAAATATTTTGGCTGATGTGTGGAAGCTAAACCACAATAAGGGGGAGGGGGGAGCAGAGAAGTTCAGTAGATTAGACAAAGGAGAACAAAAGGGAGGAGGATAGGAATAGGAAAGAAAGTAGAATAAATAATTTTCGTACGAATACATATGAAAATACCTAAGTGAACCCCACCATCGGGCCTACCCACAAGAATGGGGTCCTAATTAGGATAAGATATATCCAATGCTTGTATAGTCTTATCAAAGTGGATTATATGTATAACTAAGAAGAACCAATGAAATAAAATAAAAAGAGAGGGATGGAAACCAGAGCCCAAACCAAGGGAGCACACTGTCTGGAGGACAGGGACAACTAGCAGAGAAATGAAACATGAGCTGGAAAGATCGGGATTTTATCTAGACCCAGGATGGGCAAGGTAGAGGATTTATCTTGACTCTGTGGGCAACAAAGGTCATCCAGGATTATGATAAGAGGGTGACATGACCACAGCTGGTCCTTGGGAAGATTAAGTGGTGACACTGAGGGTGCAAAGACCCTGCAGCTGTCTCAGAGAGCCGGCAGTGACACTGTGAGCATCCATGAGATGTCAAGTCACCAAGGAAGAAGAGACAGATCTGAGTCCTGTCACTGAGTGGAATCACAGTAGGGAGCCACTTCTCAGCTAGGGGAGGATGGGGTAGGTGAAATCAGAGGGGGCCCTGGATGGTAAAATCTAAAAAGTGGGTGATTATGCCACTTGGAGGATTCAAAGATAGCTGAGGAGTAAAGTTGATTTGAAAGGGAAAATAGTTCATTGCATTTTGGATGAGTGCAGAGCACCTTCAGATGGAGATGTTTTACAGGCAATTGTATATTAATGATGAAAGCAAGCTAAGTGGCTGTCCCACAGAGACCCAGATGTGAAGTTCATAGCATAAATTTAAGATTCAGAAATGTGCACTTTAATACCCCTGTCTTAAGGTACCTTGATTTTAGGATTCCCCCACACACACATCTTCTTTTTTAAATTATTCCAAGCCAGTCTTCCGAGAACTTAACCTTTTGCCATATGTGTAAATGAAGGGACCTATAAAACGTGCTCAGTGGAGCCAGGAAGTGGTTTCAATGTAGGTATCTAGCTGGCCACAAAACATGGTCTCTCCTAAAACAACATGTTGCAGATTTCTAAGAATCAGAAAAGTAAAACTTGCATAAATGTGGGTATGTATGTGTGTTGTGTCTATACACACCCATGCATCGACATGTATGCATACACACATATAGAAAATAAAAGTTTTCTCCACTCCCTCATACTTAAAGTGACCAACCAGTAATGGTTTTCCTAGTGTAATCAGAAGAATTACAAATAGCACCTCTTTCTCAGTTAAGTTCCCTAATAATACATTAATTGCCACCCTTCTAACAATTAATTATAAGATATTTGACTTTAATACATAACCATTTGGTTCCTTTGATATTCCAACTCCCCCTGTCCTTATCATCTTTATCATCTTTATTATCATATTTAGCAGAGGAGCAAAACTACAGTCTTCGTCTAGGAAAAGATCAATCAGGCCTTCTGCAGAGTGATCTAGATTTGAAATGCCAAAGTTACAGTTGCAAAGTCCTTCCAGGGGCCTTTTAAATTGTGTAACATGTACTTCTACGTCACTGTCATTCTATGAACATTAGTGAGCTGTGTAGAAATTTTGTGTTCCCAGAATTTTTTTTTTATCAATAATAGATGTCCACGTAATACACGTAACAAACACCCATGTGCCATTAAAACCTTGTCCATATCCATAAAGATGGAGCTTCCCACAGTTCCCTGGCTTGGAAAAATCTGTGTTCTCTAGATATGTGAAAACCACGATGAGCTTTTCAGCATCGACCTTATAATTCATAACTCTCAAACAGTAAATTAGAAAACTTTGTTACAGAGTCTGAACTTTCCAATACTTGCTCCATGATTAGCAGCAGCCCAAACTCACACTGGCTACTTCTCTTTTCATTACATCAACTTATTAAAAGAATATATTCTGGTTGTATTCCAGGAGGACCATAAGAAATAAGAGTGCAATAATCATTATGGTGGTTTTATTAAACCATAGTCCACGTACCTTGGTGCCACTTACCTTTGTTCAATGTATAACACTAGCCCTGTATTACACTAATGTTGTTTTGGCATTAATGTTACCTAGATTAACTTTCATTTCACCATCTCTTTTTCAAGTCTTAATTTCATACGTAGGCATGTACTTATGATTAATCATTTCACATGAGAAAATAATCCTCTTTTTCCCCCCGCTGCAGCCTTTTTTGGAAAATACCTCAATGAATATAATGGCAGCTACATCCCTCCTGGGTGGCGAGAATGGCTTGGATTAATCAAGAATTCTCGTTTCTATAATTACACTGTTTGTCGAAATGGCATCAAAGAAAAGCATGGATTTGATTATGCAAAGGTAATTTTCAGACACTTTTACACTGCATCAATTTACTTTGTGCATAATGGGGGAAAGCCATTTTCAGTGAGTTAAACTATCCACAGGATTGGCTTTCTATGCTCTCACAATGTTAGAATGAGGAATTTTAAGGTAATTTTCAACTCCAGGCAAGAAAAAGACTCACAAGGAACACCGTCTTTGTGTAGTGATTTTTTTTCCTCCTCATTAGGATGGCCGTAATCAGTGCTTGATGAAAGTATCATTAAAAAAAAAAAAATCATACCTCCTCAGCCCTCACTCGTGTTAATTTTTGTTTTTCCCTTTCTCTGAAGGACTTGTCAACATCATCAAGTGTTCATCTTATACTGTTTTGCTTTTCAATGGGGTGAAAGAATATTTTGTCTGTGGCTTCAGACGTAGATGTAAAAATAAGAGCAGACAAGTGTAATAATTAAAGGTTGGGAAACCGCATTCCTCGTTTGTACTCCTGTCTGACCAAGCTTAGTATATGTGACAAGGACACCTGCCCCTTGGCAGCCATAGTCCACACGAGTCTCAAGGGCTATCAATCAGGATTTTTAAATCCGTTCATAGAAACCAAAATTGGTGTTTTCCAGGGTTCTCTAACCAGTGGAGACTGGATTTGCCTTAGAAATTCACAAAGGTGTTGTGACTGCTTACTTAATTTTTTTTTTAATCATAAGAGTAAAAGGGACAATATTTTTGAATGTAGCCTGAAAGGCTCCCTTCCCTTCCAGCCATACCCATGGCATCCTCTCTCGTCCAACAACCCTCCCACCAGGAGCTTGGTAGAAACAGAAAAAGGGAACTTGACTTAATGTGGTTGGCACATGGCTGTCTTTGTGCTTGGCCTGATTTGAGCACAGGGGACTTGGAAGGAGATAAGGTACAAGTTCTGATCGTTGGTACCCTTCAGAACACAATGAATGCAAATTAATTCACAAACATTGTTAATAGGCTTCTAGACTCATCAAAGTTGAGAGCTGGCAGGGACCTTGGAGGCAAATTTGAGCAATGTCCTCATTTTACAAGATGAAGAATAAAGCAGCCCAGAGTGGTTCCACCAGTCTCACACCCCAGGTCACTTCCCCAGGTTGTGGCTACACTCATTGCATGCAAAGGATGTGTGCCACATGCACTAATTGTCACTGCTATGGCTTTCTATCTGTGGGGATGCTTTTCATGCTCCTTGTTCAAGCTATTAACCTTTCATTCCCTGTTGTCCTAAGGAGAGCAAAGTAATCAAGATTCTTTCCAAATACTAAATCAGCCTAACTTACTCATTATCACAGCAGATTAAGTGTCAAAGACAACTGTGTCTAGGGAAAAAAAAAAAAAAAAAAATATATATATATATATTTTTTTTTTTGTAGTGAGGAAAGAAATAAAAACAGACACCCCCATCATGGTGGAAGGGGACAAGCTTGTGGACTTGTCCTAACAATGACATGTGACACAGATTTTGTCCCCTGAGCACTGCTTTTGCAGCTGTTCTGGTCCTTAAATCCACAACATGTGACTAGCCATGCCTGGAAGTCTTTGACGTTGTGAACATGGCCTGGGACTTTCTGAATAAAGTTTAGACTGAAACTTCCAGCCCAGTGATGCACACTTAGAGGAAGCAGGTGGTTTGATTTAAGTTTTCATCCTTTCTTTATTTTTTCCCTCCCACCCCCTCACAGACTTGCATCAGCCCCCCTGACAGTAGGTTAAGTCATTTTATTAGCAACAGGCTCTAATCCCAGCAGCTGTATTACTTTAGTTGTGCAATTAACACAGTATAATCTGCAGGAAATCAACCGCTCCCCATATTTAAGTGTTTCAAATAAACTAATTGATAAAATGTTGCAGCTTTCCCCTGTGCTCCCAGATTTTGGCCATGGCTTTGATTAGTGATTATTATGTTATTCCCACAGGTGAATTTTTAATGTGAAGAAAAGATCCTTTCTTGTGTTTGTGCCTTTGTGTGTACATGAGTGTGTGTGAGTGTGCCTGTGTGTTCTGCAACTGTGAATTTGAGGTGGGCGTGGGTGTTTCCTGCCCTTGAAGTAATTAAAATTTTTGCCAACGAATTACAACAACAAAACCTGAGAATGAAATATATATCCGGTGCTTCGTGTGTGCTAGCGTGTATTGCCAGGTCTGATCATTATCTTGGGCAAACACAACTTGTCTTTTTTCTTCCCTAATTGCTAAATTGTGCATTACTTAAAATACAATTTTTTTTTTTTGCATGTTACTAAGCCAGCAACCCTCAAAATTAACTAGCAACTGATTTTTGTCTTTTCTTGAAGATGTTTTGCTGCCTCAGAAGCTACCATCTTCTTTCATGTTTTAAACCTTTACCTCTTCGTTCAGGCTTCTGAGAAAAGCAGTATTCAAATGTGTAATGATGAATGTCACCTTTTGTAATTTTTGTTTTGTGTCAAATGTATGTTTCAGGACTACTTCACAGACTTAATCACTAACGAGAGCATTAATTACTTCAAAATGTCTAAGAGAATGTATCCCCATAGGCCCATTATGATGGTGATCAGCCACGCTGCGCCCCACGGCCCCGAGGACTCGGCCCCACAGTTTTCAAAACTGTACCCCAATGCCTCCCAACACATGTGAGTAAAACCTCAAAGCTCTGCCTGACAAATATGGCTTTTCCTTTGCTCCCCACTTGATCCTCACCTTTACCCCATTTCCTTCCACACTGTGTGTCCCCAAGAAATACCAGAGTCCATTGTGACGAACTGATAAGTGCCAGTCACTGAAGGGGACAGAGCCACCAGGCCTGACATCTTGGCCTTGTCTAGATGGTTTTGGAATCACATTTACCAGCAGCTCAAAAAGAGTCTCATCAGGTGAATGGGGGCAGTTTTTACCTAAAGTTCCCATTCATTGTCTTAAAAAACATTCATGTGTACGATCTAATAATATTAATAATAATAATAATCAAACAGTATGCTTTTCATAGCAGCAGAACGGCCACCCAGGTCTGGTTGAGGAAACATGGGTCTGTTTTCTGGGCAAATACTATAGCAGCTTTGCTGCAGATGTGCAATTAGGATCTGCAGAAGGCAGCTGGAGTGGCTCACCCAGGAGGCCTGCTCAGGTCACAGCTTTAAAATAACCTGCTGTTTCTTTTTGAGAGGCAGGAGTCTCCTCAGAGAAAAGGGAGTGAGGAGTGCAGGGGGGAGGGGGAGAGAGAGCAGAGAGCTGTAACACGCCAAGGATGGAGAAGCCTGGGTGCTTTGGCAGCAAAGAACATGATTTTGTTGACTCTGTCAACACAGTTTCTTTCCAATCATTGCAATCAATATTCAGTCTTCCACGCAGTGCAGCTGGCGCTGGGTCTGCTAAGAGCTTGCCCATTAGAAAGGCAGGGAACAGGAAATTGATATCTATTTCCTTATCATCAAACCTCCAAAATCGGTTTTTAATCTATTTGTGCTTAAATACCATTTGTTTCCATCCAGACAGAAAGAAAGCTCAGGAAAATAGATAAGTAACTTCTGGAAGGTATGGTTGCTGGTCATTATATATCCCTGGAGAATTTTTCTTTTTCTTTTATATCTCATTATAGCTAATTGACTAATGATTCCTAATCAGGGAAACATAGATTGTCTTTATTATATCAAGTGATTGAGATTAGAAAGAAGGAGTCCTGAGCTGACTTAGGAATTAACAGTAAATATATGAAGCCAGGGTGGGAGACTTACTGAGCATGACCAGGAAGTTGGAGGCTAAAAGTGTTTTATTATTAAATATATATATATATATATATAAAATGAACTATATATAAAGAAGGCTGTCACAGCAACTGGAGTCTCTGGTCTGGATGAGCTATTGTATTGGGGATTCAACCCCATGAGCAAATACACAAGCCTCTGAAGACCTTACCCACATATAACTGCAACTAAATTCATGAAAGAAGCCACTTGACAAGAGGCTGTCTGTTTCAAAGCACACACAAATTTACTAACTAGCTGAGTCAGTGAAGGGAAAAAGTCTTGTAGATTTCTCCCCTACCCTGAAACCCACTTTTTCCCTTTTTTTTTTTTTAAATCAGAAAATACTTTGTGTAGTTTCCTTTGTTGCATTAGCAGAATCTCAGCCTAAGGTTGACTTTCTTTTACCATAAACCTTACAGGTGTTTCCCTGAATTTGAAGAGAGGGGGTTGATAAAATATGGTGTTTTTATGGTTCCTTAGAAGTTAGCCTGCCTTTGAAGCTTCAAGACAAGGTCCTGAGCCTACAGGAAAATCAGCCCCAGGTCAAAAGGTTCTGACAGCTCCGTTGCATGTCCAGACAGTAACTGCATGAGGAGAGGAGTCTGTAGAGTTCTCAGGGCCTCAACAATAGCTTTGCACAAAAGCATCTCTGATTCCAACAGTTAAAAATTCTACTTAGCCTACAAATGTTTATGAGTGATGCCCATTTTACCACACAGCATGATGCAAAAAAATAGGTGTGAGGAAGATTCTATGACTCTCACTGAGAAACCCATAAACTAGGGTAGAGATTGGCACACAGGGACCCGCAGTCCAATCCAGCTTGCCACCAGCTTTTTGTTAATAAAGTTTTATTGAAACACAAACATGCGAGTTCATTTACATGTCCTCTACAGCTGCTTTTGAGATACAACAGTCAAGTGGAGTAGTCAGAGTAGATACCAAATGATCTGCAAAGCATAAAATATTTGTCATTTGCTCCTTCACAAACTAAGTGTGCCCTGACCCCTGCTTTAGAGGGAAGATGAGTTAAGTGTCCATATAGTCATATCAATAGTGGTACTCCAAGTGGCAAGTCCAGAGCAGGCATTCATGGGTCTAGGGAAGGTTAGAGCAAAAGCATTTACATTTCCGGGAGGGGGGGGGAGCCAAGAAAATCTCATGGATCAAGAGGCCTTCAAAGTGGGCCTCAAAGGATGGAAAAAATTTTTCGCAGATGATTCAACTAACATTAAGTAGATGATTTCAGGAAGAGAATAAAGCACAGAGAGTTTTACCATGTAAGTGGCACAAAAACTGGAGAACAGAGTACAAACAAATAGCACAGGGTAAATCTCCAAAAGAAAACAGTTGCAAAATATTGGAAATTTCAGTGAGTTTGTATATAACCACAACACTAAAAAAAATATGAGTGGCTTGGGTGTTTTCTCATGCCATTTCACATGAATAGCTTCAGGTATTCCTTTTTAGTTTAAATGAACCAACTGTGTCCTTACCATTGATTCTATTAAGTAAAATCTACACATATTCAGGCCTTAGAGGTAAGCAAGCCTGGTATCCTGTCTTACCTGCCTTCACTAAGCCTGTGAGAAGCTTCCTTAGCCTTTCAGAACCTCCGCAGTGTCATCTGTAAAATGCACATGATAATAATACCAGCACCTTGATGTGATGTCATGAACAAAAAGTTAGAGGGACGACATAAGTAAATCCCCTCCTAGGGCCTGGAACATAGGAAGCCAATTCAAAACTGTTAATTCATGTTGATCCTTGCTCTTAAGATGAATTATATACAAGTGGGCAATATATGACCTATGCACTTTCCATGATAGCACATGCCTGTACTCCAGCTACTTAGGAGGCTGAAACAAGAGGATCACAAGTTCAAGGACAGCCTTAATATCTTAGTGAGACCCTGTCTTAAAATTAAAAAATAAAATAAAAAAGGGGTGAAATGGGACTCAGTAGTAGAGTATCATGGGTTCAATCCTCAGAATCCAAAAAAAAAAAAAAAAAAAAAAAAAGCACAATCCCATGTCATTCAACTTATAGTTTAGGAGGATGCAGCTTGAGAAATAACAAGTCAAACACTTGTCCATGGTGACCTGGCAAATATCTTGGCAAGCTAAGACTACATTGTGATGAGTCTCTCACATGTGTCCATTCTAAAAAAAACTCAGACAGGATAAGTACCAATCTGGGCTGTATGATTTTCTCCAGGTGCACGGTGGGCAGTCACCCTCAGCCACAGAAAATGAAGATTCATGTGGTTGGCTGGATGTCTCAGCTTCTCTTGGCCACTAAGGCCGAAGCTTTGTGCACCTAGAATGTGGAGATCTACATCTCCAGCTGCCCTAGGAGCTTGAATTCCTAGCATCTTTTCTGTAAAGTTCTCTTTGGCAGCTGCTGGAGGAAGAGGCTGGAGGGCATGAGTGTACATCCCACATCATAGGGAGTGGAGTGCACAGGTTCAGAGTTCAGTCCTCAGACAGCAGAAGTGAGACAAATTGAAGACAAGCTGCCAATTGTGGTGCAGCTGAATGGCCAGCTTCCTCAGCGAAAACACTAGCAACATGCTCAAGCAATGGGATGCAAGAAATTAAGTATTTTGCAGAAATATTTGGCAGGCCCTGAACAAACAGCAAGGAACTATATAGATTGTCCCCTGTTGTGGGGCAGCTAGCAATGTGAACATTTTGCTTTAGGTCTTCTTCCTAGGTGGCCAAGCATCATCCAGATCCCTTTTATCCAGTCTTGGGTTATAGCTCTCTGACCCTCTCAGACCGGAGCAAATGGATCATGTTTCCACAGTGTTTGCAAAAAGAGGAAGCCAGTTCAAGATTGGCATGTTGGCTTTACAAACCCAGGGGAGAGGTTATGCCCTACCAACTGAGACCAAGAGCGAGTTATGACCCACTTGTTGCACGGGGAACTGTTAATCAGACAGTAGCTCAGCCAATTATGGCCTCCCAGGAATCTGAGAAAGCCTCTGTCACAAAAAGAGTCATACAGGGGCAGAGGATGTAGTTCAGTGGCCCTAACGTGTAAGGCCCGTTACAAGGCCCCTTGGTTGAATCCCCAACTCAGCAAAAAGAAAAAATATAAATACACATAATAATGTTTATCATAAAGTCCTTCCCTATGTTTAAGACTGCCACACTCTTCAGTGAGTTTTCTCCACAGTTGTGATAATAGGCACATAGCTCTGGGGAGCCGGAATCCTTACCACCTGCCAGTGAGCTATGCCCCTAGCAACTTTGAAAAAAATTCTGTTGTTATTCCAGTTCAAAAGTTGTTACTCGGAAACACACACACACACAGAAAGAAAGAGAGCGAGCTTTAAGTGAACCTAAAATCTCAGAAGAATCTCCACTAATTGGCAAGAACTGTTGTGAAAATAGAGCTTTTGGATAAACAAAGTATGTCAGAGGAAAACACCTCTGTGTACGCCATAGAGCAACATTTTTCAAACACCTTTGTTATCTAAAGCTGCAAAGAAATATGTTACCTTAAAAAGAATTTCTACATCCTTAACTTTTTTCTCCCAAAAATACATAAAAGGAGGTGTTTTCAGATAAGAAAATTTAAAGTTCTCTATACAAATTTCTGGTTTGGGCAGAACTAATTGCTCCCTTTCTATATTCCTACCCTGCCTGTCTCATACCTGACTACATATCTGTGTTAACCCAGATCCCCAAGGTTTTACTGTACAACTCCAGGGGGCAGCATTCAAACAAAATATCATGAATGGTGCCCTGGACTTATACAGTTCTCAGGGCAGGGACATCTGTTTACCTCCAGGGACATCTCAGGGCCTTACATCTGTTTACCTCTCAGGTGCTGATGGGCATGGATCCTGACATACTTAGCAGTTGCAAAAGTTATTGTTGTTT